GATGGGAGTTTCTGACTTGCAAAACTGGAAGATGATTTAAAAATGATTTCAAGGGATAATTATGTAGTCTAATAAAATTGCTTTGAAAAAGGAATAAGTGTTTATAATTTTCCAATCAAATATAACTTCTCTTGACAAATAAAGTTCAGGTTATTTGTTAAATTATTTGACTTCCGTACAACTAATGTGTGTTGCTCATTGAATGATGGGAGTCTTCATGTTTTTTAATGTTTCTCATTTCAGTGCTATGTCAGATATGCAAGCAACATAACTGTGAAACAAATATTATCTTAAATAAATCTATTCTCTGCAGCTTTTCAGGTACTTGCGGGACTGTGGGAGTTTGGTATGTAGACTGTGGACTGCAATCAGGTTTGGCTTCAAGATTTGTTGACGCTGCTCTTAGCTAAAATTTAACAAATCCCACAGATGTTTTGGGCAGAGGATATTTGTTCCTAACCCTCACACTGAGAAGTCATTTTTAGTTTTATTATTTTATCCCAGCTTTGGATTTATTTATTACTCTTCACATTATTTTAGCTACCCAAACTTTCCAAACACATTGTCCTCACTTGGCTGGTTGTACCAGGACCGTGAATATGATCAGCAACACAGTGTACTGGCATTTTGAAATTAAAAACTGGTTCTTCATGGGGTTCTTAGTGACAGGGCTTGGAAGTAATAAAATGGCAACTGGTCTAGAATTAAGAATATTTCTAAAGGAGTAGCTAAAAAGAAGGCTATCCTTCTGTTTCCTAAAGGGTGCACATTTTAGAATAGGGATAAAAATATAAGATGAAAAGAACAATACTATTTCATGGATTAAAACCCTGAGGAAAAAATTATTAATCATTTATTTATTTGACAGATATTTATGGAGAATCTACTATGCATTCAAACTTGCACTGTGCAAAGACGTCCAGGAAAAAAAAAGACACAATTTTTGCTTTTTAGCATCTAAATAATGCTAGTCAGAATTCTAATTCTTTGTTGTTATTCTTTAATTAATTATGTTATTTGAGTGTAGTTTGACACACAATGTCACTCTGCTAATTTATTTAGCAGAAAGAGATGGGAAGGCAAGAGAACACCTTTGAAATGATCTGCATCAGAATCTATTTTCTTAGCTATTGTCCTACTTATCAGTGAATGAATATGAACATATTGAAGGAGCACCTTATTGGCCTGGAATAAAAGCAGATATGATCCTTTTCCAGTCTTTCTTTCATTTCCTTTACACATAAAAATTAGTTGCTGAATAAGGGCCAACCATCCTTGAAATTTCTGTTCTGAAGCTGGAACAAAACCAAAGTGAAGCTCAGTCCTCTACCTTTTTCTTGAGTTGATAGCAGATCTTGGCAGTTTCTATGGCTAAAAAGCTACTGAGTAGATTCAGCCCTGACAACCTGTAGCTGCTCAAACCCTCCTGCTCTTACATGCCTGGTTCCTAGGGTTTTGCATTCTCCTTCCCAAGCAAGACAGTGAGTGAGAAAGGCCAGGAAGTGATGTGGAAACAGGAGTAAGAAGGAAGCTGGGGCTGCAAGCATGATGAAGTAGGTTGGTCTAGGAGACAACACGTTTCAGAAAATGACAAAACAACTTGCTCTTAAAATGTTGGTTCATAAAATGTAATTTGCAAAAGCTACCCAAGAGATAAAAGCCAGTATCAATAATCCTTTTTGGCTACCTGGTCCTTTTTGTTTCCTTCCTATACTTTTATTATTATTATTATTATTATTATTATTATTATTATTATTGAGAGAGAGAGAGAAAGAGGGAGAGGGGCAGAGGGAGAAAGATAATCCTAAGCAGGCTCCATGGCCAGCATGGAGCCCCATGTGGTGCTCAATCCCATGACCCTGAGATCATGACCTGAGCCAAAATCAAGAGTCGGTCACAAAACCAACTGAACTATCTAAGCACCCCTCCTATATTTGTATTTACTTTTCTTTTTGCAGCCTATGTGAATGTGCTTGGGAACTCAAAGATTGAGGTATCCTCTCAACATATTTGCCCTTTTGTTTAAGATCTGTAGACCCACATGGAAGAATCTTTATATTGCTACTCTTACACTGGTCATAGTCAATGCTTTTTGCTTAAGAATAGTTCCCCCCATGAGGATGTGGAGAAAAAAGGACCCTAGTGCACTGTTGGTGGGAATGCAAATTGGTGCAACCACTGTGGAAAAGAGTACGGAGTTTCCTCAAAAAATTAAAAATAGAATTACCATATGATCCAGCAATTCCACTACTGTGTATTTACCCAAAGAATATGAAAACACAATTTGAAAATATATATTCATCCATATGTTTATTGTGGCATTATTTATAATAGTCAAATTATGGAAGCAGCCCAAGTGTCCATTGATAGATGAATGGATATAGATGTGTTATATATATCCAATGGAATACTACCCAGCCATAAAAATAATGAAATCTTGGCATTTATAACAACATGGATAGATCTAGAGAGTTTATAGTGCTAAGTGAAATAAGTCAATCAAAGAAAGACAAATACTATATGATTTCACTCATATGTGGAATTTAAGAAACAAAATAAATGAACAAAGAAAAAAAGACAAATCAAAAAACAGACTCTTAACTATAGAGAACATGTTATCAGAGAGGAGGTGGGTAAGGGGAGGGGTGAAATAGGTGATGGGGATTAAGAGTACACCTAATGTGAAGAGCACTGAGTAATATATAGAATTTTTGAATCACTATACTGTATACCTGAAAATAATATAACACTCTATGTTAATTATATTGGAATTAAAAAAAAGAATAGTCGCCCCCATATTTTGCTATCAGCTGATGCCAGAATTAGATAATCACAGGAAAATCATGCAGGAAAGGGCTTAATCTAATATTTTAAAATGAGGCAGTCATCACTAGCAGTCTTTTTTTTCTCAAAGAATTATGAGATTTTATGTTTTATTTCTTGTCCTAGAATGACTTTATTATGGACCACAGCCTTGACATTTACCCTTAATGAGAGGACAGAGAAAAGGTACAGGAGATTTATGATCGTTAGTGTACCCACTATCTTATAGTGATCATGGGCAAGACAGATGATTGCTACCACCATGTAGAGGAAGATGGTTACCAGAACCCTTCTAGTGGGCAGTGAAGGGGGAATGGATGCCCCTTTTGGTTAAAACAGACAATATTTTGAGGAGAAAAACAAATGATTAGAATCACTAGTGCATGATCTCCTTATTACCTAACCTATCTTATTTTCTTCTCTTTTGGAAACATCACTCTAAACTTCAAGAATAAGCATTTCAAAGATCATTTCAAGTAAGTGAAAGAATAAGAAAATCTTAGCCTAATGGGCCCAAGGAGTCCCTCTGACCCAAACAATGGTTTCTTAGTTTCCTTGTTCCTCAGTTCTCTTTCCCAAGCATCTCTTTCCTTCTGCCACAGTTTCTTTTATGTTTTTCTCTCTGGATGATCTTGAGGCAACATCTTTAATCATGGAAGAGGAGAATCCAATGGGACTTTTAAGCAAATATATAAATAAAAGGAAAATAACTGGTAATAAAGGGTAAGATCATAGGGCAGGGACGAAGTGCAGGGAGAACCAATGCCACAGTTTACCAGAGTGGTCTTTGTCTACTGGTATCCAATCTGGATCCATAGGTGAGACACACAGGATTTCTGTCCATAGGCTTCCCAAGAGATTCCCCAAGCTCTGAATTGGTACAGCCAGGGTGGAGGCTGTTATGACACAGAAAAGAGAGCTTTTCCCTTAGATAATGGTGCCAGCTTCTTCAACAGACTCTTTAAGAATGCCTGTCATAGGCTTGCAGCAGGCAACTTGGATCTTACTGTGAAAGTAGATAAAGTGGCTTCTCAGAGCAGAATTTCCACTCCAGGGAATGGGAGATCCCCTGGGTTGAGGAGTTAAAGGAAAATTGCCTGTGGCCTGTCAGTTGGTGGTCTGTTGGGGAGTCTGTTTCATCTGCATTCCTAATTAAAGCCCAAATTAAACCCAGTCAAATGTTCACATGAAAAGCCCCACAAGAATGAGTTTCCAGATTCCATCAATTCAAAAAGAGTCTCATGTGTAAATCCGTAACTCAAATGTCTGACCCACTTTATATCCACTTTCCCCCAAGAGTTCTGGAGAAGTTATGCAGCTGTCAATGTACAGAGAGCAATTTGTCTGGATTATTAATTTCCCTTTTAGTGAATTGCATAACAGAAAATATTCTACTCAGCTGAATGAGTCTGTAAGTATAGGGGGATGGCAGAAGAGATTTGATGAAGGAGTATTCAGGGATGACCAAAGTTCCTATTCTAGAAAAGGAGCTGCTTTGTGGCTAAAGTAATAAGTTTGATTATGGGGAAGTGAATTTAAGCTTCCAGGGTGAGTAGGAAGTGAGATCTAGATTCTAAGAGTAAGGTAAAGATTGTAAATTAAAAAATGGGGGTTATGAGCACCATCAAGGCCTGAGGGTAAATTAGGTGATTGTGAGAAAATATAGGAGAGAATGGCTGTGGTGGTCTTGGGGATGCAACCATGCATGGATACTGAGAAGCCTGCTGCTTACTGTAAGCTAATCACTCACTGGCCCAGTCATTTCTCCATGCCCAATATGAGACACAGCAACCTCCTAAGAGCATAGGGCTCATCAGTAGAAACCTTCCATAAAATGACTCATTAAATGACTGGTTTCTCCTCACCCATCATAGGCCAAAACAGGTTCCGAGGCAACCAGAAGTCCAAACACAATAATGCAGGAAAAGATAGCCAGTAAAGGGGTGGTATCCCTGTTTATTACTCTCCTGCCCCACAGCCTATAAAAAATTTACTTATTATACACAAGGTAGAAGAGTGGAGAGTATCCAGTGCTTCTCTGCCAAGGATCCATTTTGCTTATCACAATACCTTGAGTGTCTTTACTTCAAAATTCTCAGCCCACCCCTTTATACATCCCCTCAGTGGGCTCAGTTGTGGCAGAAGAGGTTGAAAGGCAGGTGTCCAAGGAAACTCACCCTGGGGTCTCTCTCCAACTGCTGCTTGTGATGTAGACTGCGTCTTCTCTTGGCCTTTGCTAAGCCATTGTGATAAAAGTGGTACAGTCCTTCAGTGAAGGGAAGCTGTGGAGAGTCAAACAAACATAAGACATAATTAGCTTCTGCGGGTGGCCCCAGGACAGGGAAACCAAAGCTGGGGCTGCATGCTAGGGCTCCATGGGATGGGATGTATGTGAGAAAACTGGCAGCTTCCTATCAGACTTGGACTTCTATTTCCCTATCACTGTACTTTTGTTTTCTCTACTTTTCTTATATACTGCCCATTCACTTCTCCTCCCCAAATACCTTCTACTTTCCTCTATTTCTTTAGTTTCTACCCATTTTAAAAAATTTCTTCTCCATGGAGCCTTCCCTTTCTATTCACCCACACCAAGTTCTCCATTCTCTTCTCTTGAACTAGTATTTCCACTCTCTGTCTGGTTGTTCCAGAATTGTATTGTGACCTACTCCTGTCTTCACAGCTGGATTATCTGTCCTGTATCTTAGACTTTCTTTGTGACTCCTTGATGTCTTTCATCATATTGGGCACAGTGCAACCATCTAAATCTGGTAAGCACCTGTTGGATGATGGGTTTCCTGATTTCCAGATTTCCCTGTCTCCCTATGCTAAGGATACTTGGGATTAGGTATGGGTGTTAGAGCTAGTTGGAGAAGCCATAATAATTAGAGCTTGTCTGCTGCTCAAGTCCTGACAGATGAGGAAGCTGAAGATTAGAGACTCTAAATAAATTGCTTTAGTTCTTCCCAAGTACAAGAATCTGAGAGAACCTAAGGAAGACTATCACTTATCCTATGGTAAAACTATGTTTGGGGGCTTATAATGTATAAAGATGTATTAGTACCACAAAAGATGGAAAAAGAATCATAGCTATATTGGAGTGAAGTTTATGTATACTTTTGAAATCAAGCTGGTATTAATCTGTTTACATTATTTATTGTTTAATTTATTTATTGTAATCTCCAGGTCATCCACCAAGAAAACAACTACAAAGTATATAGTAAAACAAGCAACAAGGTCATTAAAATGGTGCACTAAAAATATTTAACACAAAAAGGCCATTATGAAAGAAGAAAAAATTTTATAAGACCTATAGAAAGCACATAGTAAAATGGCAAGTGTAAATATCTTTTAGGTATTACATTAAATGTAAATGGATTGAAAATTCCAATCAAAAGACAGAGATTTACAGAATGAATAAAAAAAAAAACCCAATCCCATTATTCAACTATATGCTATCTACAAGAGATACACTTTAGATTCAAATATATAAATGGGTTGAAGTCAAGAGATGTGAAAAGATATACCATACAAACAGTAACCAAAAGAGAGGAGGATATTTGGTTTTAATAAAAAAATGTTACTAAAGACAAGGAATGACATTTTATGGTGATAAAAGAGTTAATACATCAAAAAGACAGATAATTATAAATATATATGCATGTAACAACAAAGTCCCCAAATTAACAAAACAAAAACTGACAAATCAAAGGGAGAAATAGACAATGCATCCATAACAGTTGGAGAATTCAATAGCCCATTTTCAATAATAAGTAGAACAAGTATGCAGACCAAAAAGTAAATTGAAGACTTGAACAAAACCAAAAATCAACTAAACCTAAGAGACTTTTATAGAATATTCTACCCAACTACAGCAGAATTCATAGTCTTCTCAAGTACACAAGGAACATTCTCCAAAATAGATCATATATTTGGCCACAAATCAAGCTTCAATAAATTTAAAAGGAGTAAAATAACACAAAGTATGTTATCTGATCACAATTTCTAATTACTTTAAAAATCAATAAGGTGAAAAATCTGGAAATTTGGAAAACAACCTACTCCTAAATAATCGATGGGTCAAAGAAGAAATCACACTGACTATTCCAAAATACTTTGAGATGCATGAAAACAAAAACACAGAATTTAAAAACTTTTGGGGTGCAGTTAAAGCAGTATTTAGAGGGAAATGTTTACAGAACTTATATCAATCCTTCAGAAACTCTTCCAAAAAATGGAAGATGAAGGAACACTTCCCAACTCATTATCAAGGCCAATATTACCCTCAAGTGAGAACCAGACAAAGATATCACAAGAAAAGAAAAGTGCAGACCACTATGCTTTACAAATATCAGCCCATAAATCCTCATCAAAATACTAGCAAACTGGGCGCCTGGGTGGCTCAGATGGTTAAGCGTCTGCCTTCGGCTCAGGTCATGATCCCAGAGTCCTGGGATCGAGTCCCACATCGGGCTCCCTGCTCCTTGGGAGCCTGCTTCTCCCTCTGCCTCTCTCTCTCTGTCTCTCATGAATAAATAAATAAAATCTTAAAAAAAAAAATACTAGCAAACTGAAACCAGCAACTTATACAAAGGATTATATACATGACCAAGTGGGATTTATCCTAGGAATGCAAGGTTGTTTTAACAGCTGAAAATAAGTTAATATAATAACAATATCAATAGAATAAAGGACAAAAACCACATTATCACCTCAATAAATACTTTTTTAAAAAAGCATTTCTTTTAAATTTAAGTATTTTTAAAAGTATTTATTGACATGATCATTAGACAAATCCAACACTCTTTTATGTTAAAACATTCAAAAAACTTAGAATGAAAGGGTATTCCTCAATCTGATAAATGTATCTATGAAAACAGCCAACATCATATATAACACTGAAAGGCTGAATGCTTTCCCCTTAAGATCAGAGCAAGACAAGCTTGTCTGATCTTGCCACTTATATTAAACAGTGTACTGGTGGTTCCAGCCAGGACAATCAGGCAAGAAATAGAAATAAAGGCATCCAGATTGGAAAGGAAGAAAAAATTATCTCTATTTGCAGAAGACATAATCTTGTACATAGAAATTCCTGAGAAATCCACAAAAAAAACCTATTCAAATTAACAAATGAGTTCAGTTTAGTGTGGTTGTAAGATATAAAATTAACATACAAAAATCTATTATATTTGTATATACTAGCAATGACCAATCCAAGAATAGAATTAAGAAATCAGTTTCACTTACAATAACATCAAATAAGTAAAATACTGGAGAATAAATTTACCAAAAGAAGTACAAGTCTTGTACACTGAAAAGTACAAAACATCACTGAAAGAAATTAAAGAAGTTATAAATAAACGGAAAGACATCCCATGTTCATGGATTTTTAAGATGGTAATACTCCCCATATTTTCTGATCCTAAAATTCATATGGAAATGCACAGGACCCCAAATAGCCAAAGCAATCTCCAAAAAATAACAAAGTTGGAAGACTCACACTTTCCCATTTCAAAACTTAATACAAAACAGTCTGGTATTGGCATAAGGAGAGACATAGAGTTCAATGGTATAAAATTTAGAGTCCAGAAATAATTTATAGTAATGTCTGGTTAATTGATTTTAACCTTGGTGCTATGAAAATTCAATGGGAAAAAGTAGTCTTTTCAACAAGTCATCCTTGGAAAACTGAATATCCACACAAAAAGAATGAATTTGGATTCGTCTCTCACACTGTACAAAAATTTTAACTCAAAATTATTTATGGCCCTAAATGTAAGAAGTGAAGCTCTACAAATCTTAGAATAAAACTTAGAAGTAAATATTCATGACTTTAGCCTAGACAATGACTTCTTAGATGTGACACCAAAAGTACAAAGGACAAAAAACTGTCCAAAATCGGATTTCATTGAAACTAATAATGTTTGTGCTTTAAAGGTAATCATCAAAAAAATGAAAAAACAACCAGCAAAATGAGATAAAATATTTTCAAATCATATCTATGATGAGGGACTCATACCAGAATATATTAAGTACAATTCAGCAATAAAGTCAAATAACTCAATTTAAAAAAATGGACAAAAGATTTGAATATGTATTTCTCCAAAAAGATACATAAATGACCAATAAACACATGAAAAGTTGTTCAGCATCATTAGTCATTAGGGAATTACAAATCAAACCACAATGAGATATCACTTTATACCCACCAGAAAAAACAAAAATAAAAACAAAAACTATAAAAACGAGCAAGTATTGGTGACAATGTGTGAAAAAATTTGAACCCTTATACATTGCTTGTGGATAGTGAAATGGTACAGCCACTTTGGAAAACACTTTGGCAGTTACTCAAAATTTTAAAATGTTAAAGAATTGATCCAGCAATTCTAATTATAGGTATATATCCAAGAGAAATGAAAGCACATGTCTACACAAAGACATGCACACAAATTTTCTTAGTAGCACCATTCACAATAGGTAAAAACTAGAAACAACCAAAATGTCTACCAAATGATGAATGGATGAACAAAATGTGGTATGTAGATACAATAGAATGTTATTTGAGAACAAAAAGGAATGAAGCATTGTTACCTGCTACAGTACAGATGAAACTTCAAAAACTAAAGGCCAAACGCAAGAAACCAGACCAAAAAAAAGGCCACATATTGTATCACTTCCTTTACATGTAATGTCCAGAACAGATAAATACAGAAATACAAAGTAAATTAGTGTTTACATAAGGGACTAAGAGGAGGCAGCAATACAGAATGATTGATGATGGTACAGGGTTCCTTTTTGGAATGATCAAACTGTTCTAAAAGTAGATCATGGTAAGATTTCACAACTTTTTGTATATATTAAAAATCACTAAATTGTGCATTTTGAAAGGACAAATTTTATGATTTGTGAATTGTCTCAATAAAAATGTTATTTAAAAAATCCTGTGATGAACAGCCTTGTAAATGTCATTATATGCATAGATGAAAGTTTTCTTGAAGGATATATCCCAGTTCAATCATTTAATTAGTGATTATGAACTTTAGCATTTTTAAAAAGATTTTATTTATTTATTTGAGAGAGAGAGTGCATGTGCATGAGCGTGATCAGGGGGAGAGTCAGAGGGAGAAGCAGACTTCTTGCTGAGTAGGGAGTCAATACCAGGCTTGATCCCAGGACCCTGAGATCATGACCTAAGCCGAAGGCAGATGCTTAACAAAATGAGCCACCCAGGTGTCCCTGAACATTCACATTTTGATAAATATCCCCTAAAAGTTTTCCTATCAAG